GCGGCCACCCTCCCGCCACCGGGCCCGCTTGCTTCTGCGTCGCGGCCCCGCCACCGCGAAACGTAACCGCAGCGAAGGCTTCAGGTTCTCGCTCGGTTTCGCGAGCCCTGCCCTCCTCCGGGGTGCTGAAGCTCATCTTCCTCCTCGCCCTTCCCTCGGCAGGGAGCCCAGCGCTCCCCAACATGATGATACTGACGGCGTTAGCCACTGCAGGTACCAAAAGCTTGTCAATAAGTTGCTTTGCAGTTGAAATGGTCAACTTCTTGCCCGGTTTTTGGACAATTTGCATGCAAATGAGAAGAAGAAAGAAAGGTATTCTTTGAGGATGGGAATGTGACATTATGAACAAGGCATCACTTGTCTGGCACGAAGCTCAGCATTAAACAAATGCCCGTTTCCTAACGGCCACCTAACGAGCGCTTGATTGCAATTGTGCTCCGGCTTTCAACCAGGCTGTGCCGGACACAGCCCGGGAGTGGTACTCAGGAGCCATACGCCCTGATCTCTCCCCATCCCATGCCTGGAAACGCACTCCCGAGGTGACCAAAATGAAGGCTTCCCCATCACATGGCATGAATGAACACCCAAAATTTTGGTTGTGGGAGAAACGCTTCTCCACAATAAGATCTACACACATCCCACCGCGTCATCCCAGCACCAATGCAAACTCTCCTCCTACGAGCAGACGCGTGCCTGTCACAGGACTAGGGGTGCATGCATTTTGGGCAGGTAGCACACATATTTGGTCAAGTTTTGGAGCAGCTTCAAGGTCTCAGCGAAGAGGTCAGTAGGAGGACAAATCTGAGGTCTGCTGGGCTGAAAAAGAATAGTGGGTAGGGGGGATTACATGGGTTTCACGGAGGATGGGGGTGTATGAGTTCTTATTGGACTGCGTCAAATGGGGTTTTGTCACAGCTGTGTCAGACGTGCTCAGGCTGTGCCCGATGTCAATTCCTCAAAAGATACTCAGGGGAGGTGTCCTGTGAGGAGGGATGGTGAACCTCACTTGAGTACCAATTGCTGGCAAATGCCAGGGAATGGATTGTGATGCTAAAATCAGAACAATGAGATGATATCACCATAGGCAAGTTGCAAATATCTCAGGCAGGTCACCTCAAACCATGTAGAGTTTCACCAGCCCTCTCAACATCCTCCTCAAACTTCCCACCAGAAAAATCTAGAAGGATGCTATATGTGTCTAGAAAGTATGTACCTGTATGTACTTGTTAATACAATGTGAGTGAAAAATAGGACCATGAGAAGTATTACTTCTGTCAGTAATAATTAAAATATACAATTTCTGTTAAAAAGTAGCTTTAAAAGATTATTTGCATATTTGCTGCATAGCATATGGCTTTTTAAAGAGTGCAAATGAAAAGCTATAGCTATGAATTATTGTAACATTTCCTAAAAAACTGAAAAAAAGGTAGTTTTAAGTTGATGTTTTTAAGAATTTCCATTTTTAATACTGTTGAGGGTCTACTTGCCACTTAACTGTCCCAAGGCCTTCTACTGTCAAGTGCATATTGACTGGGAAAATAATGAAGGGCTGGTTTTAAGATCTAATCTAGCTTTAAATCACCTATTTTGAAAAATTAATGGTCTGCATATTCCTGCATAGTAAGCTGTATTGTGGCAAGGTATCAATTTACTGTTTCGTAACATATACATATATATATACACACATACACACACACACACGTACATACTTTTACACACAAATACTTTTTGTTCATAGCTCCTCTTCCACCCTTCAGTTCTTGCCAGCGTTTCCTTGCAATATCAATTCAAATCATATCTACCTTAGTATTATTCTTGCAGCCTTGATTACCATAACTTTGTCCTTTTCAAATCCAACCAAACCTTCGGTACCACACTACAACCAAAATAATCTTCCTCCTTCATTCCTGATGGTCATGCCCACTGTTCAGGTTTCCTTCCAAATTCATTATAAAATAGAGCTGTACACAAATTTTGCCTGAACTACTTGCAAGCATAGTTCTTCAGCACACAATTTTCACATAAAGGAGAAGTAAGAGCAGAACTGGGCACCATGATCATCTCTTTTTGTCACTAGAGCAGAACTTCATTCGGGCCGTGCCAAGAGCTGATTTTCCATCAGTCTCACCGTCAGTCATGTCAGGAGCAGACACAAGCAGGTATTTTCTTCAGCACAAAAAGGCAGAGCTGTTGGAAGAGAAGGGAGGTTAAATTTCATCCATTTTGTGAGAAATACAGTAGGAATGCACCGCTCAGGGAAGTGCTCACTTCATCACAAGGAGAGAGTTCCCCCGGTTCAGATGGGAGCATAGAGCTGGCTGCCGTTTTCATTAGTTGCATTAATGCCTCAGTGCCCAGACACTGCAGTGGCTGGGGGAGCACAACGAGAAGCACCGAGGGCAGCCTGGCCCCGCTGTGCCACATCACACCGAATCCCACCAAGCCCACCTCTGGCATTAGCAGCCCTTGTCAGCTACCCTGCTGCTCCCACTGACCCCATGAAGAGACAAATGCTGTCTTCTCCTTTGTTTTTAAACATCTGGCTTTTAAACAACTGGGAAATCTAGCTGAAGTTAAAAGACAATGTAGCAAAGAAAGATTTCATTCTGTGTGACTGAGGGCTTACAAGACAGTCAATGAAGTTATCTGCCTTCAGTCCCAATGTTGCTTGGATTTAGTAGTGAGGAAATCTAGCAAACTAATAGACCAGTGCCTCCTGCAGCAAAATAGGCAGCTCCAGCAGCATATGTAGTTTTTCTCACCTCCAGGCTGTGTAGCCTGCATCTTCACAGAGACCAGATGGTAGGAGTCAGTTCTGTGGGGCTGCAACGATACATGCATGAAAAACACGTAGTGCTAAGATCATGAGGAAAAGATGCCCTAATACGTAACAAAATAAACTGGAGGGTTGCTTTACTAAAGAACCAAAAATGCCTGAATATATCTGGGCATTCTGGACCAAGCTGCTCTGTCAAAAGTACATTATCTTTGGCTATGAACACAGCTACATGTTCTGTAGTTATTATGAAAATCTAGACCGTTTTCCCAAATTTTTCTTGTAGCACGGAATAAAGGAGCCACAAGCTTCTTTCACCACCACAATCCTTACCTTTAATTATTTATTATGTAAATAATTAGATAATTTCATAATCTTTGGGGCTCTGTAGTGATATTTTTTCTCTGCCCTTCTAGGATATGCCCCTCTAGTAGACGGTGCTTTACGTGCAGTAAATCATTAACCACTGCCGCCAATCATTCACCCAGCTATCAGAGAAAACCAAGTGGCGCTGAGTGAAGGTCAGGAATCAGCTCCAGCCCAGATGGGCACGGCTCTGAAGGGGATGCTGGGCAGCACAGTGCCAAGGGCACCCCTCTGCCCTGCAGTGGGCAGCTGTGGGGCAGGGCGGGGGGTCTCCTCAGGGCTGGGGTTCCTTTCCTTTTTCCATTTAATCTGAATATATTTTTGCTAGCCTGTTTACCTCTCAGCTAAAACCATTAGGAAAAAAAAGCAATGTCTGCAGACTGAATACCTGTTGTAAATCCAATTATTTTATAATTCATGGGTGTTGTCCTTCAGCAGCGTCTTATGCTCACTTTCCTCCATGTCCAAGTGCCCTAATTCTACTTAATCTCTCTTCAGGCATCACAGCCATAATACCTAATTAGCATCACCAAAACAAGGTAGTCATTCAACCCATAAAACAGGATAGGGAAGGGAGGCACTTAGTATAACCGGTAACAACCACTCCAGCAGTATTTCCAGATCAATCTTCAATTTCCTCACGTGTGGTGAAACGCTGCCATTATCTGAATTTAAAAGAAAGCAATTTTTCTGACCAGCTTTTGTCAGTAGCCGTTGGTTGAACTCACCTTACATTAGAGACTCATCTGGGGCTGGCACAGCTGAAATAAGCTGGCTCTGTGCAATTGATGTGCTGTTCAGCCTGCTTGAAAAGCCTTGTGAAAATACTAGGACATCAGCGTGGCCCACAGAGGTGTGACTAACCCTTTCTTATTCCAGCAAGAGACACCCTATGTGACTCCATCAGCCTGAGATGATCTAAAATCTTAGAAATAAAAAGATGGTAAAGGGCCGTCCTCCTTCTGTGCACCCTGTGCCTATGATTGCCATACAGATAGTTGGAAAGGTGCATGTGAGCGAGCTCTCTAACTCCGGTTTTCTACACTTAGGTTGTGCGAAGGCCTCTGTATTATTGGATGAAATCCCGTCCCTATTAAAGGAAATGGCAGAATCCCTGGTGGCTGGGATTTTACCCCAGAGCTCTCTAGAGGCCTCAGGCTCACTTAGATCATGCCCACACAATATCCAGGGTCTTCACACACTTAAGGTCTATGGACTTGTTGCTGCAACTTTTCCTCCTTTACCTCATCCTCTCATTTTTATTTTCAAAATGTAAAAAAGGAAAGCATCAAATAAAGAACTGTGTCATCCTTGACCTCCATACTGATTTTGGTTTTGTCCATAAGTCCTTCTCCAAGGCTGCAAACTGACCATCTTTGTGCATGATGCTGAAGAGTGGTAGCAAAGTGCTAGGAATTGCCCAGCTAACACTGAAACTGTTCCTGCAGGAATGGGAGCTTGGTGCAGCATGTGAACATCATTTCCCAGAGCTGCTAATATTTCCTTTTTGAACCACCCCTTCAAGAAAAC